GTCACCAGCATTCTTCAAAATATCTTATTTTGTGTAAAACAGAAGAAAGAAGTGCATACAGGTTTGGAACGACATGAGGGTGAGTAAATTATGACAATCTTCATTTTTGGGTGGACTATCCCATTTAAGGGATTGTTCACTCAAAAATGCAAATTCTCTCATCACTTACTCACCCTCATGCCATACCTGATGTGTATGGCTTTCATTCTTCTTTTTCCCTTTAATGTTTACTTAACATTACAGCATACTGCAAGATGTACTTACATCAGAATAAACTCCAAAGTAGTGGCTGCTTCCACTTGGTACTTGATGTTTTGCACATAATAGCAACCGAAGAGAACAGCAAATGCAGAGGATATATCTGATAGGTCAATCACAGGAAAGAAGACTTTGCCTTCGATCGCCAGCATCCATTTTTTTGCTGTGTAGAATTGAATCTCCTAAAAAATAAATAAATTAAAATAATTTATCATGTTCATGTTTTTTTATTGTGTTATTTATAGCTTTGCAAAAACATTTCACATTTGATTTTGGTGTCAGTAAAAAATGTGTAGATGTTGGAGCCTTTCTAATTAGTTCAAAGAGATGAAAGAGACAATTCTATCATCATTTACTTACCCCTGTTATTCGAAACTTATTTGAGGAGATGTTAGGTAGAAAGTTAGACATAGAGAGCCATGAATAAAGTGTGACTAAATGTTTACTTTTAAAAATCATCCCTTTAACATCACTAAATCATGTACTGAAAGATCTTACCAAGCATGATCAGCCTTGGAGTAGAAAGAAGTCAAAGCCTGGTCTTTGCATCTGCCAGAGTTGTTGTGACCTACACACACACACACACACAAACCACACAGTTTTTCTAAGTGTCAGTTATAGTAATCATCCTTTTAAGTGGGCCATCAACAACAGGACAGCTGCATCAGTGACGTTATTCACGTCTGGCACAGCAGCAGAAAGCGCAGTAACGTTATTAACGACACAGATTTCTCAAAATCACATTTATGCTTCCTACTAAGGTGTGCTGAAAATGATTACGTCACTCTAAAATAGTTTTTTACCATTACTAACTGGACATTCCATTTTTTTTTTTACCATCTCTAATGTGTCATCTTAGGTGTTCACAAAGGCTGGAGAATAGTCGACATGACTGTAACTTACAGCCTTCCACGGTGCATCTAGAATTCAGATTGTGTTGTTCAGATTTGTTCACTAATTTTGTTGGGTTTTCTGTGTTTGCGGTAACGTTACGTGTGCGACTGAAGTGAAGCGCGGAGAGGCTATAAGAACGTGCATGCATACACGAAAACCTGAAGTTCGCTCTTTGGCATGATTAATAAATGCATATTATTTCTCAAAAGGTGTTTGCAGACGAACATTGTGGGTTTTATGCTAGCAGTAAATGCATGTTGTACATTTATACACTTATATATGGGTAGCGCCAACAGATTACACAGCTGTACCATTAAAAGCTCAGTTTGTTGGCCAACAATTTCATACAAGTTCACCTAAAACCTCACCTGCTACCGACGTGGCCAAAACGAAGACAGAGACCTGTTTATGTTCGCACTTTGATGGTGAAACGTTCTACAAAAAAGGAAAGAAAAGAAAGAAAGATCTTTTTTTTGCACAGAAAGTTTTGTTTCCGCTCTGTACCAACGAACACCGTGAGGAAACTGTGCATCGTGCAGTGTCAGCGTTTTTTGTATTATTATTATTTAGCTTTTAATTAAACCAACAAATAACCCCTAAAATTACACTGACATAAAATATGTAATGAAAAAGCAGGAATATTGTACATACATTTGCAGGTGCGAGGTGTGTGCGTCTTCCTTTTCTTCTTTCTCCAACCAGAAAAAAAAGCCTTTCTGTCATTGGTCAGGTTTCCCGCTCATTTTTTTTTACTGTATTTGGATTTACAGTAAATGAAAAATACTGTATTTTAATGGCGCCAAGAGGATATTTCCCATAATGCAATTTTAAAATACAGTAACATACTGTGTAACTGTTTTACAGTAAAGTACAGTTCATATTACAGTTAAATACTGTGTAATTTACAGAAATCGCTAACAGTGTATCTTTACACGATATTAGTATTTAGCGCAGAATGTCATTGAAGTATCATAGTTAGTCATACACATTTTCTCAGCACCACGTTTAATTGGAGTTGCTCTAATCACTGTGAGGAAATTATATGTTCAGTTTTCAAGGGAATAACGGAGGCTTGACGCTTCATAGATGCATTAGGGAGATATAATGGGATGTTTCTTCAAATGCAGGTACTTTTATGTCCTGGTGGTATTCATTCATTCTTATAGAATGTATTTTTTATTGCTGTTATTTTTTAATGATTAAAGTATAATTTCCACTACAGAATGTAAACTAGTAAGAATATGAAAAGTGTTTATTTTAAATCCACATTGCCAAAAGTGACCATATTAGAAGAAACACCCAACATTGTATGTTAGCAGAGCAGTGAGGATTTATTCTGGAAAATATTTTCAATAGTAACTCCCTGACCAACCTGAACTGGTTCCATTTACGCCATTGTCAGTCACAACTCAGAGATAGATGAACAAATTCAGGTCATTTGTCCTCCAATAGGCTTGATCCTCTGGAAATGCTAGAAGATTCATAAAGCCTCTGTGGTATTGTGACTGGCACAGGGTTTGCTGCAGGTGTGCCGGGGGGTTCAAAGGGGATGAAGAAAGGCACTTTGAAGTGGCTGAAGTTCATGTGTTGACCTTTAGCAGCCCAGTGTCGGACTCCCTGGAAGCCGAGAGAATGACTACATAAGCAGGCACACCGCTGACAGAGTGGACCAATGTGGCGGCATTTACGGGATCGAATTCACAGAGCCTTGTTAAAGACATAAAGAGATTTAAAAAAAAAAAAAGAATGAGTGATTTTCTGAATGAGTTTCTCTAACCTTCAGCAGCCCATTATGGGCTAGCCATCATCCCAAAAAAGTCCCTTCGGAAGGTGATTCTTCAAGTTGTACGTGGGTATTATTATGCTGTGCCTAACATCATATTAATTTGAGAGCTGAGAATCAGTCAGGCTCTTATATAAGGAAGAACATAACTTCCAAGCATGATCAGCCTTGGAGTAGAAGTCAAGCCTGGTCTTTGCATCTAAGTTGTTGTGACCTACACACACACACACACACACAAACCACACAGTTTTTCTAAGTGTCAGTTATAGTAATCATCCTTTTAAGTGGGCCATCAACAACAGGACAGCTGCATCAGTGACGTTATTCACGTCTGGCACAGCAGCAGAAAGCGCAGTAACGTTATTAACGACACAGATTTCTCAAAATCACATTTATGCTTCCTACTAAGGTGTGCTGAAAATGATTACGTCACTCTAAAATAGTTTTTTACCATTACTAACTGGACATTCCATTTTTTTTTTTACCATCTCTAATGTGTCATCTTAGGTGTTCACAAAGGCTGGAGAATAGTCGACATGACTGTAACTTACAGCCTTCCACGGTGCATCTAGAATTCAGATTGTGTTGTTCAGATTTGTTCACTAATTTTGTTGGGTTTTCTGTGTTTGCGGTAACGTTACGTGTGCGTCTGAAGTGAAGCGCGGAGAGGCTATAAGAACGTGCATGCATACACGAAAACCTGAAGTTCGCTCTTTGGCATGATTAATAAATGCATATTATTTCTCAAAAGGTGTTTGCAGACGAACATTGTGGGTTTTATGCTAGCAGTAAATGCATGCTGTACATTTATACACTTATATATGGGTAGCGCCAAGAGATTACACAGCTGTACCATTAAAAGCTCAGTTTGTTGGCCAACAATTTCATACAAGTTCACCTAAAACCTCACCTGCTACCGACGTGGCCAAAACGAAGACAGAGACCTGTTTATGTTCGCACTTTGATGGTGAAACGTTCTACAAAAAAGGAAAGAAAAGAAAGAAAGATCTTTTTTTTGCACAGAAAGTTTTGTTTCCGCTCTGTACCAACGAACACCGTGAGGAAACTGTGCATCGTGCAGTGTCAGCGTTTTTTGTATTATTATTATTTAGCTTTTAATTAAACCAACAAATAACCCCTAAAATTACACTGACATAAAATATGTAATGAAAAAGCAGGAATATTGTACATACATTTGCAGGTGCGAGGTGTGTGCGTCTTCCTTTTCTTCTTTCTCCAACCAGAAAAAAAAGCCTTTCTGTCATTGGTCAGGTTTCCCGCTCATTTTTTTTTACTGTATTTGGATTTACAGTAAATGAAAAATACTGTATTTTAATGGTGCCAAGAGGATATTTCCCATAATGCAATTTTAAAATACAGTAACATACTGTGTAACTGTTTTACAGTAAAGTACAGTTCATATTACAGTTAAATACTGTGTAATTTACAGAAATCGCTAACAGTGTATCTTTACACGATATTAGTATTTAGCGCAGAATGTCATTGAAGTATCATAGTTAGTCATACACATTTTCTCAGCACCACGTTTAATTGGAGTTGCTCTAATCACTGTGAGGAGGAAATTATATGTTCAGTTTTCAAGGGAATAACGGAGGCTTGACGCTTCATAGATGCATTAGGGAGATATAATGGGATGTTTCTTCAAATGCAGGTACTTTTATGTCCTGGTGGTATTCATTCATTCTTATAGAATGTATTTTTTATTGCTGTTATTTTTTAATGATTAAAGTATAATTTCCACTACAGAATGTAAACTAGTAAGAATATGAAAAGTGTTTATTTTAAATCCACATTGCCAAAAGTGACCATATTAGAAGAAACACCCAACATTGTATGTTAGCAGAGCAGTGAGGATTTATTCTGGAAAATATTTTCAATAGTAACTCCCTGACCAACCTGAACTGGTTCCATTTACGCCATTGTCAGTCACAACTCAGAGATAGATGAACAAATTCAGGTCATTTGTCCTCCAATAGGCTTGATCCTCTGGAAATGCTAGAAGATTCATAAAGCCTCTGTGGTATTGTGACTGGCACAGGGTTTGCTGCAGGTGTGCCGGGGGGTTCAAAGGGGATGAAGAAAGGCACTTTGAAGTGGCTGAAGTTCATGTGTTGACCTTTAGCAGCCCAGTGTCGGACTCCCTGGAAGCCGAGAGAATGACTACATAAGCAGGCACACCGCTGACAGAGTGGACCAATGTGGCGGCATTTACGGGATCGAATTCACAGAGCCTTGTTAAAGACATAAAGAGATTTAAAAAAAAAAAAAGAATGAGTGATTTTCTGAATGAGTTTCTCTAACCTTCAGCAGCCCATTATGGGCTAGCCATCATCCCAAAAAAGTCCCTTCGGAAGGTGATTCTTCAAGTTGTACGTGGGTATTATTATGCTGTGCCTAACATCATATTAATTTGAGAGCTGAGAATCAGTCAGGGTCTTATATAAGGAAGAACATAACTTATTGAGAAGCAGCTATCTGCCACCTTTCTCTAGAGAAATTTACAACCAAATTTTCCCTTCATCCCTCTTATCACCTAAAGTTATCCTAGTTGTACTGAGACATAAAAAATATCCAGATACCAATTAGACATTAGCCAGGATGGATGGATAGCCATTCAGCAACCGATTGGCTGATTAGAAATTGTCAATTTATGCAAAATGAATGAAAATATTTAAATAATTCTGCATTGAATGCAGGCATGTCCTTCGATTCAGACTGCACTATTTTTTATTTTATATATATTTTTTTATTTTAGATGATGTGCTATACATCCAGAGGTTATTTTGGGTCTCATGTCCTACATATTACGTCAATGGACCCCTTTCGTTATACTGACAAAAAAATGTTTTTCAGGTTTGAAACAACATGAAGGCCAGTAAATGATGACAGAATTTAAATTTTGTTTGAACTGTCCCTTTTAAGACTAATTGTTCAGACATCTTAATGACTACTTGAATATGAAATGTAGTTTTGCATATCCATAACAGCAATGTAGACTGTTTTTATATAAAAATATGACAGTGGCAGACAGCCTGCTGTGAGTCTCTGGGATTAGATTCCACGTGGGACACAACAGCGGCTGCCTCTGAGTTATATGTCATTGTGTATGGAATTACGCAACTGCTGACCTTTTAATGCTGCTGGCTCCTCAATTTATGACCTCTTCAAACACAGCTCTCAGAAACAGCCACCCCAGTGCGAGTCCGGCGTTCAGCGAACACACAGCGCACCATATCAGCATTCATAGAGTCCTGAACACATTCTTTTCCAGAGGTTAAGCACTGCAGGGGATTGGCAAGCGTGCTCGGAAAGGAGAAAGGGGAAACACACCATCTCCAACACTGGAAAGATGTTTAGTGAGTGTGTGCTATTGTTTTATATGCCTCACTCAGATAATGTCAGCTATATTATTATAACAGATTGTTATGTTTTATTTCATGTATGTTGTGTTTCTTATCATAAAGTGGTTTCTTGCTTTCTTCTTCCCTTTGTTTTGTGTTGAAAGCCCTTGTAAATCACCAGGTGGCATTAGTGGAATAATAGTTGCTGCATTGCTATCCTGCCGAAGTGGTTCTTTCTCATTTAGGATCGATAACGTACCCATGTGTGATATAACTTGCTTTGCATTGTGCAGAACTCTCTGTGTTTAGGCAATTTATTAGCTCAGAAGTGAAAAATAGTAATTTTCATAACAACATACATGAAAGGAATCATTTAATGAATCATTTGAATGACCCTTTGTAAGAAATTATCACAATTGCTGTGAAGTGCCGCCCTTAGTTTGATTGGAAATTAAACGTGTAGATTGTTGCCTGTAAACCAAACACCTTTTTAGCTGTGGTTGTGGAAAAATTAAGCTTTATACCTTCTGGAATGTTTTGGCTTCCAAAGTTAAGCTTTTAATGGCATATGTGGCGTAATTCTGGTCCCTCCTGCAATGTAAGTATAAGGGATTTTGCAGCACAGTGTATCATCTAAATGATCATTAGTCAGATCACTTAGAAAAGTAATCTTTCCGCAAGTCAAATTAAAGGTTACGGCATGCAATACACCCCTCAAAATTTTTTAAAAATAAAATAAAAACATGGCTATTGTAATACACTTAAAATGGAAGT